TAAATAAATCTATTGAAAAATCCCTATATAGAATCTCTATATAAAAGTCATATATATATATGAGGGAAGCTACAGCTATCCTTCAACCAATGAAGATGTATTTTTGCAACATCTACGGTGTGTTTTACTGTAGAAAACCACCACAGGGGTCACAAAGTAGTGTTAAGATGGTCACCCTCTCTACCCCTAGAAGATAACTTAGTTAGGAAAATATACTGTATAAAACAAAAGTATAGCTCCATGTAAAAATGGGTGGCTGAAATTATATACGTTCTTAGTGTTACAAGTCAAAAGAAGACTTTGCTGCAAAACTAGATAGTGAAGGAGAAAGTCTGAGTAGGATTGTAGGCTGTAAATGAGAAAGAAGATGGAAAAAACATGAGAAAGAAGATACATAGGACTGGCACTGTTCATGCAACATTGAAGGCATCCTAAATCAGGCGCAGCTCAGAGAGATTTTGGGGTCGGTTTCAGACTGCTACAATAAAACAAATATTGCAGTAAAGTGAGTCACGCAAAGTTTTAGGTTTCCCAGTGCATGTAAAAATTACGTTTACAGTATATTATAATCTCTTCAGGGTGCAGTAGCATTATGTCTAAAAAAACCAATATATTCGTCTTAATTAAAACATAATGCTGCTGGGAAATTGCTCCGATAGACTTACCCCATAGACTTCCTTGATGAAGAGTTGCCACAAACCAACTTGTAAAAAGCGCAATGACTGGAACATGCGATAAAAATGTTCGCCTGTGTACTATTTGTCTGAAGCAGTTATGTAAGGGAGTAGTGATGCTCCCTGCCTGTGAGAGTTATGCTAGAACATTGAGGAAGAGAGCTATTTTCACAGAGTAGAGTTACTTTGTAACTCTCTCTGCGCATCACCCTGACTCAGCAGGAGCAAATCCCCGCTGAGTCTCCCCCCGCGTGCATTAGCGGTTTTATCATTGCCATGTCTATTTTCTGTGGTCTTGAGGAGGTATCTGGGCACATGGAATTGCTATTATAATGTTTCAAATCCGTAAATTAATACTATTAATAACCTCACCATCATATAACACTTGCTATGTGCCTGGCACTGTTCTAAGCACTTGGTTCTAAGCACTAAAATACGAACTTATTTAATTCTCCTATCAACTATAAAGTAAAAACTATTATTTCTCTTTCAGAGATGAGGAAGTCAAGAGAAAGAGAAATTAAGTAACTTGGCATGGCTGGTATGCAACAGAACCTGCAGTCACACTCAGGAGTTCCGTTTTAAGAGACAAATCCCCTACGATGCCTCTTCCTACTCCTTTGGTGGGGAGACGGCACTGCTGTCATCCAATTTTCCAAGTCAGATGTTTAGAGTCATTCAGGGGCTTCACAGTACTTACCTTCCATTCATACAGTGACCAAATCCTTCATATCCACCCCAATCCATCTTGTCTCAGGGATAGCTGGTGCCTCACCTGAGTTCAGACTTTAACCAGCTATCACCCGATGACTCCCTCCAGTGCCCTCAAACCATAGGAGCCAAGATCACCTTTGGTCTGAGACACTGGGCATCGGCTGCTGCTGCCCGAGCAGGAGCTGAGCCTCTGGGTAGGTCAGCTCTGTCTGTGGTCTGCCCTCTGCTCCTGATGCCTGGGGCAGGGGCGGGGGGTGAGGGAAGGGGTCTTCCTCATCCTTGGTAATCCCTGAGGATGGGATCTCTGACCTGCCCAACTTCAGACACCAAGACTGGAGTTCCTAACTTTGGATCCTGTTGAAGCACTGAAAATCGAAGTCCGAAGTTACTCTGATCGTTAAGAATTCATTTAGTTACCGTTTACAGAAGTTTATCAAGCTGTATATACACAGATAGCTTTGTGAGAAGGCACTTATTTTTTTTTAATCCATCCAACGTTTATTTACTTCCCACAGTAACAGACAAAAGGCCAACTTCCCCAGATGTTGCTGTGTTTTGCAGTTCCACCAGGAAGGTATGAGAGTGCCTGTTTCCTGTCTTTTGCCAGCTTTGGGAAGTGGAAGACTGATTTTTTTTTCCCGTTTTTATGGAGGATAGGGGAGTTTTGTACATGTTTTGAGTTCATATATTACTAGTGAGGCTGAGGATTTTGTATTTTCAAATATTGATGATTTGCATTTGTTTTCTGTGAATTGCCTGTTTGAATCATTGATCTTTTTTTTATTGCATTCCAT